CCAATAAGGCTCCTTTGCCTAATGCCTTAATCATTTTAACTGCCGAATCAAATGAAGCATACTTAACTGACGTTAACTGAGGATCAATAGCGTCATTCACTGATTCGCCTCTAGGGTAAGATAAATTGCGTATTAACCTGTATTCCCCCGGTGCTTTCTTAGGGACGACACCAAGAGGAGATAATCTCAAATTTGGCATAGGCAAGTGCTCATGAGGGCCCAAAATCCTACCTGCTGCTATTTCTTTGGTCAGCTTGTCCCTTACAATTCCTGGCAATTCCCTGACAGAACGTGCATTAGGTGCGTAACGGTATGCCCTTAAACCGACATAAGGAATACGAAAACCTTGTGAAAAACCCTCTAACAAATACTGAGCGGCCTCCCTTTTAGGGTATATCCACAACCAGGTGGCCACAACATCGAAATTAATTGGTGTTGGTGCCCTTTCCTGTATTAGATAATTGTTGAGAGGGGGCCCCACCTCCTGCTTTCTTACCTTTAAAGCATGCCGATCCAGGGTGGTTCCCCCTACAGGTATTACACTTATGTTCAAACCTGCAAGGTTGCCTCTTGCATCTACCTGTGTTGAAGTCCCAGCACAGTCCAAACTGTTTTTTCTCTCCCATACTAGGCCTCGCATTTTGCCCTCTCGGCTGAGTGACCATGGGTACAAATCCATTATCACAATGGCTCTAAGGGGAGGCTCCTACCATAACATCGGCCCACAGTTTGGACTGTACATGACGCCAAGACAAGGAGTGGTCTAATGCTGCCCTCATCCTAAATTGCTCATCATATTGAAGCCAGGCAGACCCTCTAGAATTAAAGTGGCAATTGGTATAAGCTTTGATCATTATCTCCTGGTATTTGGAGAAATCAGGGGATCTATCCAGGTCCCTTTCTTCTATAATGCCCCTATAAATAGTAAAGCCCATAATCCAATTTACAAAGTTTCTTTCCAACTTAGGGCACTTATGCGATTGAAATTCCTTTGGAAGGGTAAACACCACCCCATCCTTAACCATGATCCTCGGTTCAGGATCATGAAATGTGATTGAAAACAAATCAATATACTCACCCTTCCAAATCCTTTCTTTTGTAGTTATGGGAAGGTGCGACCCCCAAGGGCATAGACATCCCCACATATGGATTGCATTCAAAAGACCAGTCAGTCCCAGAAATGCCTAATGCACCTACGACAGCAGTTTCCCTTACCTGACTTACCGTGTTATTGACATTTGAATTAGACTGCACCTCCAAGTCCGAACCTTGTGCTAGACCCATGTCAGCTAGAGGTGGTGTCACAGGTGCTGGGCTAGGGAAGTCGCTTGTTGAGGTCAACCCTGTCTGCCCACCTGTAGCCCATACTGCAGAAGGCCATAATGCCTGTACATTATTAGAGTCTGACAAACCTGAGCTTGTATGAGGAGAAGCATCCACTGATGTTTGCTGAGCTCCCAACGTGAATGTCGCAGAAGCAGCTCGGGTGTTGTGCTGACCACCATGTGCGCCTGGTACATCACTATTGCAAGCCGTGGATGTCGCAGGTGTCATCACATCACTCTGACCTGTAACTACCACACTTTGAAGAAAGTGAAACAGATCAGCCAAAGTAGGTTGACTAGACATAGGGGCAGTTGCACCCTGATGCCCCACACCAGGAACTTTCTTCAAAAGCTCCATTACGTCAGCTACAGTTGGTTGCCCAACCTCCATAATTGATGTACTTGGGAAACTACATGCAGTGTCTGGTGAAATTGGATTATCAATAGCCTGTTGTGTAGTGTTCTGACCTAAATTTGTATTTGAATGGGCAATTGGAGATGTAGTTATTTGCCCCCCTTTTTGTAAATGGTGGTGAGCCAACTGCTCACATACTGCCGCACAAGCCTGCATTGTGTGACCTATCTGAGCCAAATGAGTGGTGTCTTCCTTATTTTGAGTATTAGAGGCTCGCTTAGGCGCTGGCTGACCAGCTTTAGGACCAGCTGAGATCGCACATCACTTAGACTGAGTCTTACTTCATGGCATGATTGTTAAAATAACAATAACACTAGCTATTTAGACTAATTGGTGCAGGATATAGGGTTGTAGTTAAGGCTATACCTGTGTCACCAATCTGTAATGTGAAGCAATCAGTTTGTCTGTGTAGAGTGTCTTTTACCTACTGCACGTGCTCCCATTCAG